TATATATATATATATATATATAACATTTAAACGACAATATACGCATCACAATATATCGTTCGGCGTGTCACACGGGACCGTGCATCAATGGGTCACGATCCACTCGTGCGTCCGTTTTTATACCGACATAAAAAACGGCTGTATGAAAAGGAGAGAATGTAACTAACGGCTCGAGAAAAAGAAAACTACTCGATCAGTCGATTGTGTGTTTGACAGATGCTTGTGTTGCGTATGAATGAATACGTATGACTGGTGGTAAACATGTTAAATCGTATGCACGTACATATAACATCATCGGTCCCGAACTCTTCACACACATTCTTGCTTTCGTCTTTCTTACCGGTCATGTGTTCGACTCTTTGTTACGCGCGAATCGTAATTCACTCTGCATTACACGCGTTACTATTCTTCCCCGCTGTACAACGCGCATTCGGATTTAGAGGTGGATCCTAATGAAGACTTTTCTCGCGATAAAAATTCGTAAAACCGCACTCACTTACGCTAAGTCTCTCGTTTATCTCTCAAAACTGTACAAAATTAACTGAGAAAAAAACAGTACTTTTTAATATAATAAATTTAACATTTTCCCTCTATGATTCGAGTCTACGTACTATTGTTTTATTAAGCATGTTGTTCTGTCTCTCTTCGCGTACATATACATATTTCATTATTCGATGGATTGCTTTCTTTTCTTTCTTTCTTTCTTTCTTTCGTTTGTCGTCGGTGCTTCGTGAAACGCGTCCGAAGAAGAAAACGGAAGGACAAAAGAGACCTGGCTCGAAACTTTTATCACAGTATCGTATTACTGTAGTACGAAGTTCTCGGGCATTTTGGTGCGAAACGTAGTAGCTCTGGCACGCGGAGTTCTCTCATGCTTGTCCTTTTTACAATTAGACACACGCACACACGCATTCGTTCTATCACTCGTGCATTGCACCACGAAGGAAGCTGGGAAGGCACAGTGTATGTACATATATGCATGTACAGCACCGAACTTTTGATCGGAGAGAGAACTACAGTAACTCGTGGTACACGATGTCTGGATGTCGACGAAACGTCATTGTAAAATTATACGCTGAAATATCGACTTACAATGTACAAGATTAAGGAGGGAGGGGCGGGTGGAGGGGGAAAGAAAATTGAGAAAAGTTTTGCGAGCTTCTTACAAAAATTACATGTTTCAATTGCGACACCGACTAGTTGGATATTTGTCAGATTTCGATTAAACAGCCAATGAACTGACAAGGACGTCTCTAAATCGAAAGAATTTTGATCATTTTCCAAACCGACAAATCAATGTAAAAAGCAGGAGATTTACGCTAAAAGTATTGTTACTTTAATCATTGAAATAGGAGAAAAGTCTTTTTTTTTTTTCTTCAACTTTTGAAGGTAACGCAAAACGCTAAGTACTTTCCTTTGATTCTGTTGGCAGTGTTCTCGTTTCTTGATAATTTAAATGGATTTCAAAAAGAGATCCATGCAATCAACGAGCTTTTCTTACTATCAAACACCATTGACTAGACCTTATCGGAAGCCCAAGTTTCTGCTTCCTTGCAGTACAATGATTAATCATAAACGAGGACATGGCCAGACAGTAC